TCCCGATTACTTTATCATAAATTCCTATTATGTCACATACATCACTTGATCAGTAAATTGGGCCACCGAGTCATTTTTACTCTATGGTATAGTAGAATATCTCAATCTGGACCAGTCACAATTTCACCATCGTTTGTTCTGTTCCACTTGAGTAAACCTCAGACTGTTGGCTAGAATCTGGGATATTGGGTTAGCTTTTCCACGAGGGATACCAGCCAACACACACAGGATCATCATCCCAGTACCATGGGAATGTCAACTTGAAAGATGAGAGGAATGCGCTATTTACGATTCAAAGGGAAAAAAGGGAGACGGTCCATCCTCCCACCAGCGGTTACGACTTGGGCCAGATACAGATCCCCAATATGGGTGGGGATGAGGGAGAGGATTATCGAGTCATGGCTTTGAAGCCTAGGGAGAAGAATGTTCCTAGGCCCTGGCATGTACATGAGTATGGACATGGGCATCATCTGCTCGAAATCCTCGAATATGGCGTAATCGATGACGGGAATGGAAAGCTCTTAGGCAGCCGGATTTTGATGTTTAGCATCGGCCAATTGACAAGCGGGTAGGAAACACAAGGCGGGGGCAGAATGTAGGTCAATAGCCCTGCAAACGGCATCTAGTACCGGTGGTGGAGATGATTGCGTTTCACCAAACCTACTTGCAGCAACACACTCTTAGGCGATATTGGAGGAAATGAGAGTGTGAATAAGTGGATGAGCCATATGAAGTGGGTTTGAGAGAAATAGATGCGGCACTAGAAAGTAGTACAACAAATAGGGGCGAGGAGGGATGCCACAACGGTTGAACAGAAAATTGATCAAGGGGATTGCCTTCACTTGTCACTTTGATGAGTTGTAACTCTGTGCTTACGATGGCGCCTCTCACTGGCGATGCCGGCGAAACGCTTGGGAATCTATCCAGCCATAAATACATGCAGTTATTATTTATTGTAAGAACTTTACATATTTTGTCGAAATTCACGCTTATTTAGTCTTTCCAGACTCTTATTATTCATTTTCTTTTTTATTGTCATTCATGAGACCACATTTAGGTATACGTATTCCAAATTTTTGGAATTTTTTCACAATCAACGCCTAATGTGCTTGAATCAAGTTGAGATTTGCTTCCGGATATTGGGCTTGGTACACTAAACGGACGTTTTATTAACATCCATCAAAGTCTGGTAAGATGCAGAGTACACTTCTTTGACAGTTCCTGTGGCTTAGTTTAGTACTCATTATCAGTTTACGCGGCAGCGATCTCATTTGGCCTTGGTCCTGCTTAATTTTTTGGCCGCTTGGTCAAACTCTGAGAAACGTAAGCAGGCATGCGCAACGCAACATCCCTTGCTATTTCTGCCGTGTCTCCTTTCAGCCTTTAATTGTCTGGTGAGCACATTCTCAGAGGGCATGACTACAACACCAAAGGGCGCATTATAGTGTACTTTCTCCTTTGTTGAATTGCAAATGTGGTTGAGGCTAAAGAACGAGATCGAGCCAACGCTCAATTTAGGTCCGTTTATGCATGCTTCAGCTCACGATCATGCGACACCGGAAACTTTCGCCCCAGCTAATACAACTAAAGCTAGCCTCGTGAATTTCAGCCACAAGGTAGCCCAAATGAGCTTGTTACTATTACAACAAGCTAAGGCTTGAAACCTATGCTGGGTTTCGAAGTCAATATTGCACGAAAAACTCCTGTATCAGATGCGACGGAAGCTAGACAGCCGTAAACATGTATAATGATAGTTCAACTCCCCAACCTTGGGGCAACAAAGAGAGTAGCGATAACTAATCGCCCTTACACGGATTAAGGCTTGCCTTTGATCGTTACTTACTGCTGTTTCAGAAGTAGTATGATGTGAGCGGCTTTTAAATAACCATTTACCTATTAATGCTAACTGTTACATATTTTCCGAAGGCACACAGAATTGCTGATCCATTTACATGACGATTAAAAGTAAACATAGTATGAGCAATTAACCTGCACTCCTCAGTATAACCATATATGCATATTCCTAATTTATTCCCAGACATTTTGCCTTAGTCATCCGATAAATAGGTTTAATTATTGTGTACACACGATCGGCTCAGCTGATTTCACTGTTTTTTATTCTTCTTGGAAAGGCGGCCTCGCATGCCACTGGCTGCTGAGCCAGTTCCAGAGGCAGCGCTCCGACCCGGACCTACTCCTCATAC